GCTATGACTGGGGCTGAACCGTCAAAAATACTCAAGTTCTCCATTTTGCCGGGAAAGACAGCTTGAAAGACCCGCGACAGTGCATCCTTCTTTGGCTCAAAACACTTGAACTTAGTGCTCTCCCCTTGTATACTGTGCCACATTATAAACTTGTCCACCTCTTTTGCCTTCAAAGACTTGCGTTTCATGGGTGCTGCAAAGTTGGGTGATTGAGGCAGAGATAATGGCCACATTTGCATGAGGCCAAAATGACGAGCCACAAAGTGTGGATTGTAAACCTCGGTGAATGTGTCTAGTTTTGGCCCCATAGGGAAGAGTATGAGGTCGCGTGCCCAAGTCCAATCTTTTCATTGGAGCACAAAGCATCGATATTCATCAAGTTCATCTTCGTCTTTGGGTCTCACTCTGAAAGCCCTGGTGAACGATGGTGGCCCTAGGAGGCGGGGTCTGAAGGGGGTGAAGCTATCAAGAGACTTCAAACCATGGAAGATGGAGAAGCAGTCCTCAAATTTCTTTCCCAAGGATACAGCATGGTTGTAGTAATGACCATAAGTAAGCGGAGGATGTTTTTGGTTTGCAGACTTCAGGGCGGGCAGCTCCTTCCCAGACATTGGGAAGTAGGCTTGGAGCCATAGGTGCACCAACCAAAGGGGGCCGGAACCCGTGATGGTGGTACCAGAAGTAACTTGGTCAAACAATGTGTGCATGCCATGGTAGAGGTGCCCAAGAATGATCTTTGCTAGGTCATCTTCCACGTACCCATCAGCGAGGTAATGAGATACTTTTGAGAGGCTTTGACGGGGTCCCGGGGTCCCAGGACAAATGATAAACTTGTATAGCCAGTAGTGAAGGAATTCCGCTCGCTCTTTATGAGTGACAGGGGTGGAGGGATCTGGATTGCATTGGCTATGAAGATATTTGAAGGAGCTAGCCGTGAATGGAGGGTATTGATCCTTGGTTTCTCGATCGAGAAGAACTGGGGTCACCCCTGTGAGGGCTGCCACATCCATTAGGGTGATAGTCATAGCACCCAAAGGGAAGACAAAGCAGTTGGAACCTGTTGACCAGAAGCAGGTGGCGGCCTTGAAGAGTTGAGGGTCGGGATCCGTAATCTCTGTCATTAAGTGAAGGAGTCGATCAATCCCAGCTTGAGCCCAAAGGGTGGTGGTCTCCTCGTCCTTCTTCAGCCTATAATACCAACTGTTGTACACAGGGTCTTGTTGGGGCCAAGACCTAATCAGCTTCTTTTGTGAGGCATGGTGAAAGAATGATGATGGTTTTGGGTTGGCCTTGTAGAGTAGCTTGCCGCCGCCAAGGGGGTAGCGGCCATGTGTTGAAGCCTCCGGGGTGGCTGGGTCAAGGATTTTAGGGCCAAGCATGCCAACTCCATTATCTTTGACATCCAAATAGACCATCTTGACTCCTTTGCGCTTTTCTAGCCCTTTGAATTGCTTGCGGTACGCGCGGGTAGCCTCCGTCCTCTCTTTTTCATACTCGGGGTCAGCCATCCTACAGGAGAATGATGAAGTAGGTTTAAACTTGGTCATCCTATGCATCAACGTGGTTTTTTTTTTAAATTAAAAAAAATACATATGGCCGGCGGCCATTAGTGGTGATGGAGAGTTTGTTTCTCTCACCTTGACTTGTTTGGTGAAGATCACGTTGACGTTAAGAGCTCTTGTTGGAATGTAGTAGGTTGAAGTATGAAGTATGTGAAGATGAGAAGAATGAGAAGAAGGAGTGAAAGAATCCTAACCAAACATGGTAAGGATATATCAAACAGACTTTTCTAGTCTGGTGGCCGATTTACAGAAATGGTAATCCCACTCGTCTTCGGTCTCATTGCGCTAGGAGGAAAAGAAATTCGGGATAGCAACGACTTATGGTTGCTGTAGAGAAAGAGCGTGTTTTATTTGCAATTTGTGGTGTGATTTCCTTGGCCGGGTTGCGGGTTTGTGGCCGAAGCGGTGATGGAGTTGAGTTTTTCCAAATGGGTCGATGGAAGGTAGTGGGGTGTGAAAAAAAAAACATTAGCAAGCACCATCATAGTCCGACTCATGCCTAGGAATAATATGTGGGTATATGGTTGGTGACCATATAAACACAAAGGGGGACATTATTTAATCATAAGGGAATCAGAGGCGATGAGGAGTAGTTGGTTCTTAAAGCATGTGAGTTGCATGGCCATGCATTTGGCAGTTCATGTTTTCCAGTGAAGACGAAACAAAAGAGGGATTATTTGGCCTGAAGTGTTTCCATTAAAGCCAAAATTTTGGCCAAGGGAAGTAGGCGACCGGGTGGTTTTTAGTTTAATTGGCGTAGTTGGTTTCTACAACTTAGTGCATAAACCTTATACACTAAGTTGTGGGGGGTATTTGTTTATCCATAAAAAATCAGCTTGTACCACATCGATTAACTACAAGAAATTCAATGGATTTATAAGACCAATTCAACATTAATAATTAAAAGAGCCAGTTGGGCCTAGTTGGGTTGGGTTTTTGGGCCTAAGTGGCCAAGCCCCTTCTTCCCTACATGATGGCCGACCCAGTCTCCTTGGCCCCATAGCCGGACGACGCGCTTCGCCCCTTGGTAGGAAATATGGCCTCCAAATACTAAGTCTTGGAAACAAGGCGACACAACGGGGTGCCAAATGGCCGGGTACCAAGCCGGGTACCAAATTCTTGGAGACAAGGCGACACAACGGGGTGCCAAACGGCCGGGTACCAAGCTGGGTACCAAACCAAGGCGACACAACAGGGTGCCAAACGACCGGGGGCCAAACAAGAGGGTATCAAGCCGACAAGGCAGGCCTGATACCCAAGTAAGAAATTTGGCTAAGTATGAAAACAAGGCGACACAACGGGGTGCCAAATGACCGGGTACCAAGCCGGCAAGGAGGGCCTGGTACCAAAATATATAATTTGGCTAAGTATGAAGCAAAAGGGGTATCAAGCCGACAAGGTAGTCTTGATACCAAAAGATATAAAAATTGGCTAAGTATGGAGCTAAGGGGGTACCAGGCAGGCTAGGCAGCCGGCAAGACTGACTTGGTGGCCAGGCAACAGGGGGCCAAGCCAGGTAACTAAGAGAGTCATACAGAAACTATGTCTGGATATCAAGCCAACAAGACGAACTTGATACCGGCAGGGTGCAACTTACCACTTGACGAGGCTACAAAAACTAAGTATGGAGACCAAGCCACCAGGACTGGCTTGGTAGCAAGGGTTGTCAAGTTGATTACATGGACTTGGTGGCATGCCGGAAGGTATCAAGCCGATGAGACGGCTTGGTAACAACCAACAAGTTAAGGATGAGGACTTGGTGTCATGAGATGGTAGTCGTCTCAATACGACAAGAGTGGGGAGTCATAAAGCAGTCGAGGGTGCAATCAAGACTTCATCATGGAGGCTAAGGCAAATAACCTCAACCCCATCCAGTTATGACAGGGGGATAAGGCTCAACACCAACTCGACCCGGCATTGAGGCCATCAAGTACCCACCAACCCCAAGATGGGACAAGGGTCTCCAAGGCGATGGATACCAACCAGTCAACAAGACGGGTCAAGGAGCTCCAAGGCAATGGAGGTGAAGACGAAGACAACGGTTACCAATTGGCAACCAAGGCAACGAAAAGGGGTCCATAAGGCGGTTGGAGCAACAAGACGGATAGCAGTTACCAAGGCGGTTACTCCTAGTGGTTATAAATAGAAGAAACGAAGAAGAAGCAAGGGTTCCACAACCAAACATTTGACGCACAATGTCAAAATTTATCTTTTCTCTGCAAATCAGCTTTTAGTCTTTCGGAGCTCTCACTGAACCTCCATAGGAGTAGAGTAATTTAGATTGTTTCCAAAAAACCATCAAAAACATCAAACACCCTCGTTCGAACATTGTTCGGAGAGGAGTGAACCGTGTTTAGAATCGTTGTTCAAGAAGTCAAAGGTGCATTTATTGAGTTCAAACACCAGTTTTTCCTCGCCGGAAAACACTACGAAATGGAGTTCATGCACAAGGTTAACCCAGCTGATTACAAGTCAATGGAAGCCAAAAGAATCACCCTAAGCGTTAACGGTAGGAAAACGACCACCTTAGAAGAAACAAGGAATCTTCAAGGGAACCTGCTGAAGATCGAGTTCTTCACGGACCGTGGTGAATTGCAAACCGACGTTCTTTAAGGCGGTGGGTTCAGTGCTGGCGATGTCTGTCGTGGCCACTGTGGCTGAGAGTTCTGGGTGCCCTGTTATAAAGGTAGCCACTCTCTGCAACTTTGGAGATGCCGAGATGCCTCCTTCAATGGGGGAATTTGACAGGCACTTGATTTGACATTTGTGTACCATTTTCTTTGATAATCCCTTACTGTGTCCTTTCTTTTATAATTGCAAACGCTTCAATCAATTGCTGGATGGAACGAACACTATCTCATCCAGTGTAGTACTGACCGACCCTGAATATCTAATGTATCGTCTCAACTTATGGTACTGGTTGAACTGTATTTTAAAGACCAAACTGATGCTGTTGTATCACTATTTTGCTATGATATTTCAACCAGTTCGAACAGATGTTGGTCCACATTAAAAAAAAAAAAAAAAAAAAGAGGGGTCTTCCTAACTTTTAATTCTGTTGGTAGAAGTTCGTATATACAACTACAACTACCACATACTTACCAGCAGCTATTGTAGAGCTCGAACCATAAGCCAAAATGGGTCTTCATTTCATCAATGTTAATGCTTTGCAGTGTTTCAGACAAATACAGCAACATCATGTATTTTTACGACAAGAATTCCAATCATAGTTCTTAATTGCTGCTAGAAAAGCATAGTAACTAATTTGGAAATAGTTTTCTCTGTATATAATATTGTTGTGAGATGATGATATATTATCAACACTATGCAAGAAGGGGGCAGCAGAGAACAAGCTTGTGTATATCTACTCAACCAATATGCCGAAAAGTTTCTAGCTTTACCCTCTATATGAAGAATTAAAGAGAAAAATTTTCCTGGTTAATCCCATGGAAGAGAACCTGGATAGAGAGTTTGTCCACAGTATCTGAACAGACCATTGATTTCTGGGCAGCCGTTCGGATATGGGATGGACCGATGGAATGGATCACGACTGAGCTTCTTACGCCAGAGTGAGCCTCGACAGCCATATGGATCTTCTAGAAACTGATACCTCACTAATGCCTCACCTTTCGCAGCTGCTTCTTTTGCTGCCGGTGAGGCTGGGGTGCCAGAGTAGAAGAAATTTGACTCTGGGAACCGAATTGATGAACGATGCAGTTGAGCAAATCTTTCCTCCTTGAAGTCATAACTAACCACCTGCATCCAAATACTAACAAAAGGTTAAATATAGCACGGGCTAAGAACAACCACGGCGTTTCTTACAAGCAAGAAAGCTGACCAAAATGACCACAAGTCCATTCTAATTTCCAGCTCAACTCCTTTGTGGCTCACGGGCCACGGCCCAAACTGCACCTAAACTGCATAATATTCAGTTCTCAGGAAAGCCTCACCGATTGGACTTACAGTGCGGCCCCCCCTGTGAAATACAAGGTTGGTTTATCAATTATGATTCGTGTTTTTGCAATCAGGTATAGTTTGACCTAAACCGACTCCATGCCAACTGCCAATTCCTATCACGAGCTAAGGCAATGAACTACTTTCTGTAGTTTTGTTTCTAAGGCTAAATATTGGCATACCAAATACACCGCCAGCAGGAATCTCGCTATATGTGCTTTTCTACCTCAGATAGAAAATCTGTAAGTGGGATGCACATACCGTTATATTTTGGGGATAAGCTCCAGTAAGCTCTCTGAACCGGCACACACTGAAGAGAAGGTTTTCAAAGCTGTCTCTTGCATGTTCTTCAGTCAGTGTCCTCCATTTCACACTGTCTTCATTACCTGTGACCATCAAATGGTTCAGATGAAGATTTTGGATGCTTAAACCAATAAAAATTTGTTCACAACAACTTGCAAAGTGGGCAGAACATGGTAATTGCTTGGTTAATGCAAAATTACAATAACAACAGTTAACACAATGCAGTAGAACTTGATTATAACAGGTCAACCTACTCGTTAAATTATCCTACAAACTTAGGAAAAGAATATGTTGCTTGCTTCGTAGAAAAACGGTGGTTCAAGTTACTGATGAACTTTTCACCCTTTTCCATTCTGGAATCATAGACACACAAGTAAAGCAGCTTAGATTAGCAGAACCACAGATCCTGCTGCTTGCAAAAACTACTAGAGTGTCCTGTGCTACATTAGGAGGAAGTTCATCAATTGAGAACCATGAAGCATTTATGCTGAGTGGGATTCTGTAAAGTATCAGACATCCTGAAGACAAATAGGAAGCTGCTAATCTGAATTATGATCAAGTGCGCTGGCATGGTTGTCTATAATTTGAAGTAGCACATTTAGCAACAACTGGGAGAAACTTAGTAACTTACCAAGTACAAATTTCAGCAAGGGTGTCATAATCAAGCCAAAAAGAGTCAACAAAAAGAAGGCTTTCTATGAGTCCCGAGACAGATATCCTAAACACTAGAAGGAAGTTAAAAATTAAATTCTCAAAGGCAATCTAATTGGATGCAATGGAGAAACCATATATAGTGCATGAAGATACATAGACTGCTTAAACAATTACAAGGACATTAATTACTATTTAATATTTATTAGATTATCAAATGGCCATTAGACATAGTCAACTGGGGAGTAAATACAAGCACAAGAGATTAAACTATGAAAAGCTTGAAAGTTATTCTTGGAGTGCACATAAACACTATCTTGGAAATCTGCTTCAAAACAATGTCAGTGAAGTGGAAGAACTCACCAAACCATTTTTTCGATTCAGCAACAGCCCAGTAACTCTGGGCCTCACTCCTCGGACCAGCATTTTTCCTAGTTTCACCACCACTAAACAAAAGCAAAGCTTGTTTATCCTTTGCCACATTCTCAACCCCTTCTTGTATGTGAGCCAGGAATGTAGCAGCTTGACCTGGATGCTTCTGGTAAGGCTCCAAAAACCAAGAATCCTCCTTATCAGCATCACCACAACTACTACTCGTATAAATAGAATGTCCCGCAACCATCACAAGATTCTTCAGATTGGCATATGGATACTCCTTCGGTTCCAAATCCAAACGCTGGTAATAACTCATTGATCTGTGGTGGCTCTGGTAAACAGACACAATTATGAGAACTGATACCCCAAACAACAGGGAAATGAAGAGTACCCGCAGTGGATGCAGTTTGTAGTGATACTGGAAACCATTTCCTAAAGATTTGAGCATCCGCAAAGGGTGAAGAGAGGAAGAACTCTTGGACTTGCGGGGCCTTTTCAATGTGGCCGATTCTAGATCAACGAAATCGCCCCGTGGATATGCATTAAAAGACTTGGGGCTGTTTGAATAAGTGCTCATGATATTTCAAATCCAGCTCTCGAGCTGCAATATCGGCCGAGATCAAGCATACCCAGATGCGAGTGATTCAGCAATGCACAACGGAAGAAGAAGCAATGGGATCATGAGGTTAAGAGCGCACAAGAACCTCGATACAGATTGAAACCGTCAAAAGGTCGGAACTTTGATATGACCCAGATCAGGAATCCCGAAAAGTCCCAGCTCAATACAGTGTGAAAATCGCAAGTGGAGAGTGAAAGACCTTTGGGGTTGAAGAAGGGAGAAAAAGGGGAAAGAGCGATCAGAAGGAGGGAGACGGAGGTCAATGAGAGTGTGATGGAAAAACTCGCCCCCGGAAAAGAAGAAAGTTAGTATTGATTTATCCGCTGTTTCTGAAAAGTTGCCTGCTTTCAGCGATTACGATTGATTTACGCTCTGAAATTAGCTTCTGCAACTGCAAGTGAAGATCCAGAAGTTCAGACTTTTTATTTTTGGGAAGCAGAAATTCAGACTTTTTTTTTTTACAAAAGGAAATATTGTATTGCACTATGAATGATCGGTTACAAAGAGAAATGGGTCAAACTGAATTCAAATCAGCGTAATGAGATCTCGATCAAACGGTTGAACACACACCGTGCTTGAAAGATACAACAAAGAAGAGCAAAGCAAAGAATACAAACAACCACCCAAAAGATTAGAACGCAAGATCCAAAAACAGTAGATCCAGAATACTTCTCGCATCCAACCAAAACATAGTACCACCAAGATCAGAAACAACTCGTCCAATCACAACGAAATCCATGGCTTGAACAAAGCAAGGTCATATGTCGCCTCCTGGGGACTGCTCGAAGACATCCATCATAGTGAATCTCAGAACGAGTCTACTAGCATAGACATAGTGCCCGGCCCCTTGGCCGGTGAAGTCAAACGTTGATATCGAAATATCACATTGTGTGTGAACCTGAATCCCCATACAAATAAAAAATGACAATTGGTTAACGTAACCTATATAAATAAACCCCAAACATACTTGTTTTTGGAGCTAATTGGTCCAATAAAACAAACATATTCCCATTATAAAGAAGGAAATCTTGAAAAATTTGTAAATCAATTTGAAATCTGGTTTTATCTCTTTCAAACCCGATTGAATTCAAATTTTAACTTTTATTAGTTAAGGGATTCATCAAGTTTCATCTGCTAGTGGACTAGCACACCAATATTGCTATAATGAGATAGAATATTACTTAAATTAAACTCACTATGAAATGAATATCCATCCTATCCACTCCAGAACACTAAGATGAGCCTTCTAAGTTAGAATGACCCTCTTATCTTTCTAACTGCTAACAGAAAAGGCAAAAACCCATAGGATATTTGTGTCTGTCTGATTGACAAAGGCATATGAATGACCGTTGATTGTGGGCTATGCAAAGCCCAAAATTGCTACCCTTAGATATGACACATTGAGGCTTTGGGTTGTACCAAGAATAATTCCAAGCCAAGCCCAAAAGGATTGTGTTTGTGTACATGCAAAAGCCCCCTGCTACACCGTGTCTTCAACTGTCAAACCCACCATCGTCGCCGCAGGCGAATGAACAATACAGGACAAAACATAAATTCCCACCGCAGCCAGAACCGGATCCCGGCTAATCCGTGGACATCCATCAAGTAATTACCTAATTGAAAAGAATGGCCATACATTGATCTTTCGGAGTCGGGATTACCTGCAAATCCGCCAAAAATTTCATGGAAAAAAGGAACAAAGGACGGAAAAAATAGGGCCGCAACTTTGGGGAGTAGAGAATTAGCGGAGGAGGCATATCGTAGTCGACGAAAGACGACAAAGTTGGAGAAGGAGCAGTGTAGCCGTGTAGACAGTCAATGGACGGACATTGATAGTTGATTCGGAGGCTTGGAGCATATCAACTTCCGAAAGCGCGACGACGAGGTTTTTTGGATATGGCAAGTGGCAACGATGGCGCTACGGAGTGGATTGAGGCGCCGCGCCTAAGGTGCAAGAACGGGATGGGAGGCCGTCGAATCGTGAGATGGACAAATTTGGGAGACTTTGATAATTCGACAGCCTTTGCTCCTTAGCGTACGACGACGATGTTCGTGGGATTGGACAACACGACAGCGAGGTTGCGGAGGGGAGCTCGAAAGTGGAGAAGGATGGAGGATTTCGTTTGCAAGTGATAATAATTGAAGGTTCTCGAGTTGCGATGGAACAGAGAGAGAGGAGGACGGAACGGGGTAGGAAAGAAAGAGGATTGAATTTACATACCTAACCCTCCGATGTGTGCGGAAAAGTGAGGAAGAGATGACGTGTCAAAAACTATTCACTAACATTGCCTTATATTTATGTGTAGACAAGGCGGTGGAGAAGGAAGTGAAAAGATTGCTCCTAGCTGAAAAGGCAGAGGGAGCCGAGGCAGCAAGCATGGATCCAAGAGAGTGGAAGAAACTGATCGAGCCACCAAGCTCCAAAGAGACAACAGACACCTGCAACCCGCCGGAGAAGACGATACCCTCCACAATCCAACGAACACCAAAGCAACAGACAACTGCGAAGGGATGCCAGAAGGGGAAAGTAAAGAATGGCTTCACCGACGATGAACCCACCAAACTTGGGAATCGGCCCTTCTACCTAGCAGAATGAAATTCCCAAGCTGCATTCTCCAGATCCCTCGTTGAGCAAGCCCAAAACATGAATCCTAGATATTGAAACGAAGAGACAAGCTCAACTTGAGATGAAATTGAAAGGCCATAACGGCTGGAAAGGAGAGAACAAGATAGGAAATAGCCGGAGAAGACTATCCAAACCAAAAGCAAGATGGGTGATTAAAGAGAGAAGGAAAAGATTGGGTTACCGCCGATCACCAGAAGGCGCCGGCGGCCACCCCTGGGAAAAGGAGTGCGAAAGTGACTATGAGAGAAGGGGGAGCGTAATTTTGAAAAAAAGGTAGAGAGATCAGACTTCAAAGTGACACTTTTTGTTTCTTTTCTCTCTTACTTTTCTCGTGACCTCTCTGGAATCTGGATTTATTTTTAAAAATTTTTGTAAACAAGAGGCTAAATTACATGTTTGGTCACTCAAATTATACAAATCTTTCATATTTGTCACCCAAATTACTTTTCTTTCTTATTCGCCACTAACTTTACGAATCATTTTACCGTTAGTCACCGGCCTTTACACTCCGTTATGTTTGTCCTATGTGGCAGTCAACTATAAAGTTTGACCGTTAACTAGATGACGTGGAAATTAAAAAAATTATTTTTCCACCTATAATTCCACTTATTTTGTCTTTTATAATAATAATAATTAATTATTTAAAATTTAATTATCACCACCTGCTCCACGCTCTCGGAGTTCCCCCCGATGTACAATATCTTGTTGTGGAGTTGTGGTCGTAGTTCGCCAGCAGGGAGACCAGATTATCCGGTAAGAAGACAGTGTCTTCGTCGCCCATCCGGCGGGTGTGGAGATATAAAACCCGAACCGCATCCATTCGAGGTAGATAAGTGGGTCGGGGCGGCGTTTAGAGCAGGGGAGGCATCAAGCCTTTGGATGTCCTCCAGCCACATGAAGCCGCAGGTGCGGTTCAGGGACCATTGAGGGTGAAGAGAATGTGGGAGAGGTTGGACGGGGAATTATTAGGGTCCCGGCGGTGGTCGGCAGTGGCAGTGGCGTTGCGGGCGATGGAGGAGAGGATGCGGTGCAAGGCAGCAAGGGGGTTATTCCGCCGCTCTTGGGTCATAAAAGGTGGTGTAGAGGCCGATGTAGAGAAAGGACAGGATGAACGAGAGGATGAGAGATTTCCCGACAACGGAGATTAAATGAAATGGCTTGTCGTCTGCCTTGTGCTTTGTCATTGTCGGGGTCGGCGGCAGCCGTCATTATTGAATCTGAATTGTGAACCCCGTCTTTGAAGTTGGGATTTGTGGGGATGAGAAAACGATTACGATCCCATTGAAACTGCTTCTCGCCGAATTATCCAGTTCCCCCTTGGGGAAGAGGAAGAGGAAGAGTCAGAGGCGAGCATGGTTGTGATTGAGCTTGTTGCAGTCCTTGTCTACTCCATTATTTTAGTAATTTATTAATTTTTTATTGAATAGTTAGTATGTTAATAGATAAAGTCGTTAGGACTAATTAGGTGGAATTTTTTTTAATTTTCACGTCATCTAGTTAACAGTCAAACTTTATAGTTCACTGTTACATAGGAAAAACTTAACGGAGTGTAATGGCCGGTGACTAACGGTGTAATAATTCGTAAAGTTAGTGGGGAATAAGAAAAAAAAGTAATTCGAGTGGTAAACGTGAAAGATTTGTATAATTTGAGTGACCAAACGTGTAATTTAGCCTAGACAAGAAGATCCAATAATTATCTGGCTTTGGGCTTTCTTCTGTCATGTTTAAATGAAACCCAGGTTTTGAGGCAGGGCCCAGACCATCTTTTATGTGGACCGAGTCAGGACCTTTTTTAATTTGGTTTGCTAGATATGATGTAGTAAAGTTTATGACTTCTGTAGTTCTGTTTTTTTTTTTCCTGCCTGTTTTCAACTTTAAAAAATCAGTTACCGCACTTTCAAGTAAACATGGTGGTGGCTATAGTGATCTTAGTCTCCCTGAGTTCATACAAACGATAACTTGGGTATATGTGAAAACTTAATAGCTAACTGAGATAGACTTCTACATATAAATATAAGTAGAGAGCTAGGAATGGATTTAGTAGCCATAGTAGGTGAGATTCGAGTTCGTTCACTTGCTATAGATTCTATTGACGAGACTTTAGATTCTTTCGAGATCTTGGATTCCCTTTTGAGATTGGGTTCAAAGCAACATCGGAGATGACTGAAGCCCTGATCCGTTCTTTATCTTTCTGATAAACACTTCCACAAGTCACCTGGTAATGCATACTGATAATAATAAAGATTCAAAAGCTATCTACTCATTTTCTTATGGTTCAAGCTACTGATATTTATAGGTGGATTGTTTGTGTTAATGCCTGATGGAAACCCACCAATTCAGTAGGCAGCTACAACATATCTTTCCTCCCTAAACTGTACAGTGACTACCTTGAACTTGGGCTTCAATCTAGTGTCACTTGTGGGAAAGATAGCTTCTCTCTTCAAACCATGAGGAGCTTCTCCACTTCACAGGCTAGCATAAGCATCCAATTAGCAGTTCTTTCACTTTTTGAGGTTGAATTTTCGTTATTGACTTCCTGTTCGTTTTCAGATGAGGTACATTCTTGGAGAGAATTCAAGAGATCGAAGGGCCCTAATCTTGGTATAGATCAAGAGAGAATTTTTTCAAGCATTTATCTAACCCCACCAGCTCCTTGAAACACTTATTTTCTGAGTTCATCAATGTCTAACTTGTGAAGTTAATGCTGAAGTCATATGTTCAAACTGAGAACTTCTGCAACATTCTTCTTTATCTCTTCTTCAAGTGGCCTTCAGTCTGTCAACCGGTACAACTTCTGCAGCATTCAATAAATGAAGTGTAACTTTCCGAAATGGAAGAAAAATAAAATGCTCATAAAAGCATGACCAACATGAGCTTAATTACCAGAGCAGCATGGATGTCTTGTAGAATGGGTACAAGCAATGAGTCTGTATCCTCTTTCAAGATGTCATCGTTGGTTTCATCTTTCGGCTTTAGAAGGCTGATGAAGGTTTTTCTGTTTGGGACAAGTTTGAGAGCCACCTGGAGAGCAGGAAAATTTTCATCCTATTGCTTATAAAACAACTATTGTATTTGAGGAGAGAATGTTCATAGAGCTGTGATTTTCACTTTGAATGCAGCTGACGAAATCCATCCGTGCCACGGTTTCAAACTGGTGCTGTAACACTCTTCCACAACTTGCTCCATGTCCTTACTAAGATCCTTAACCAGATTTTGCAACAAACCGCACATAAAATCCAAAGATCTGCAGGGTAAAACCAAGAATTAACATATGAATTTCATCGTCATCAGAGCCTAGCAGATAGCTTCTAGGACAACTCTTTGGATAGTTTCTTTCTATGCTGTTGTTGGTAAGACTTGGTTATTGATGTGGAAATGCCTCTCATGTAGACATGAACCAAGAGACTTGGAAACTTTCCACTCAGGAAAGCCTGGATTCTGATGTTACAATAAGCCAGACTGGATATCTAAAATAGAATGTAGTATCAAAGAAGTATTACTTTAATTCCCTTGTGTTTGATATGTCAGCCACTACACAAGGCAACAACTTCTGCGGCATGGAACATGGTTAGTCGATTTTGTTTGATACATAATAAATAGAGCCATTGACATTGATCTTTTAACTTGTGTCAGCTCAAACCATTAAACAACTGGCACAACTAGCTTCCATGTTTGTCAAAGTAATATTATAGATACTTAACTGTTCAGTAGTAACATCTGCAAGTAAAAGAAGTATCATACTTTTTACTGCATACCTTGTAAGCCATAGAAGGGCTTTGCTACAACTGTTTCTCTTTCTTGAACTTCCTTCATTTGATTCTTTCTTCAAGATCTCAATCAAGTTTGAGTAAAGTGAAGGATCAACATCAAATTGGGACTCCAATCTCTAACAAACATCACAAAAAAACGAAGGAAAAGTTGAAATTTTTTGGGAACATCTGGCCCCCCTAATATGTCCCCACATATCAATCAAGAAAATGAGATTATGGATTAGTAATGGAATTTACTACCAGGAAGAATCCAAAGAGAGAAATAGAAATTGCTTTAATATTGATAGGAGGGTCTCTATGCAGATGGTGGCACAAATTACTATTCTGGAGATGATCCAGAAGTAGTCTCACCTGGATATTATGAATAATGTCTTTTCTAAGAACAACCATTGTTAGGCCTATATTATCTTTAGAGATGGCCACAAGAGGAGGGGGAAGTAGAACTTTCAAGTCAGCATAAGCATAGGAAAGGAGAAAATGACAACTGAGAGAGAAGTGGAAAGGGGGAACTGACCAAGAATCTGAACAACCAAGTTGCAGACATGGAGAAAAGGTCTTGTGGGTATTGTAGTGGCAGGATGGCCATCACTGCAGTTATGGCCTTCATCACCATCATCGTTATCGTGATTAGGGTCATGATGATGGTGACCAGGGTTGATTATGATGGTCATTAATGAAATCTCCTCAACTGCATATTTCAGCTCAGAAGCTTTCTCCATTTCTCTTTTCCTCTTCATGGTTTTCACAATGACCCTTTATGCAGCTTCTTCTCTTATATATATATAGATGTGTGTGTGTCAGGAGTGACTCTAACCACTTCTATTATTCATGTGTAGGAAAAGAAATTTGCAGCTGGAAGGAATTTTGAGACTTCAAGTTGAACACTACTGGCAGTTGGTTGTTGAGTGAGGAAACCTGAAAGTCTGCAATTGATTATCCTACATATATGATATGCATATAAGATTTCTTAGCAGAGCTTGGAACTTCCTAGGGGAAATTGGCCATGTTATTCAACGAAAAAAGTTAAATGTTTAATTATTTCATTGGTTTCACCAAATGTTGAGTTAAAAAATGTTATTTAAACATTGCATTGATTGGACTCTGAAACATTATATTATACCATAATTCTTAATAGTTGAAATCTAGATCTTTATTTTCAAAATATTAAACACTAAAATAAATTTAATTTAAAATAATAATCGATAATTATGATTCTGTGAAATATATCAAATAAACTACATGCTCCATCTTAGGGTCTAGAGTTCATAATTTACAAAATTAGAACCTCCAATTCACCCTTACTCATTAAGGGCAAGAGTATAATATCATACCAAAAATCTATTAGTTTGAACCCTAGAAAGCATCTTTTTACTAAAAGTATGTGGTTGGTACAATAGAAGCCAACATTATATTATAGATTTATTAGTGAATTATGTATACTATAGATTACAATGTTTTTTTTATAATTATAGATTACAATATTTGATAAATGCAATTATGTTTTCAATAATGAAAATTTCACTAGTGCCTCTTCTTTTCAATGCAAAATGTATTTTTAATCAATAAAAGTGAAAAAAAGAGATAACAATCTCAAATGAGAAATTCCAACAATAATCCCAAGGGGTTAGCCTGAACCCTAGAAGCCTCAAGAAGCTTTTACTTCATCCCCAAGTAAGTGGAACCCGTGTCCCACTCGTAAGGAAGGTTTTAGACTGACTTAGTAGGAAAACGACTAAAAAACCCTCTCCTCTAACTATTATAAATATGGAGCTAGGCCTCGGTTGTCGAGCGCACTGTGAAAATCACTTCAAATCTTTTGTAAGCACTCTTCCGAGTGGAGATTCTAGCATCAATAGGAGGGGGCGCAGTAATGGTGGTACTCTCCTCTCTTTTATGTATTGCTAAAGATTCGCTTTAATAGCTCTAGGATTACTTTTACGATTTTGATGCACTAGTGGTAGGGTTTCATATGCTATCAAGCCAAAGTAACTTAGTGGACCATCTTGTACAAGTGGGGGACATCAAGGCTCAGATACCCAGAGTCAAAATTCAAGATTGGATCGAGGTCTAGAAAATGCCGTGTAATTTAGTTGACCCGAGCGCGAAATGGCACCAAAGCCACCATTTTTGGGGTTGTCTAGATTGAGCCCAAATTCTTAAGAAATATGCTAAACATGGTGGCCAAGATGGAAGAAACCTGAAGGGCCTTATAGATGTGTTTTAGGTTGACTTTTACCCAAAAAAAAAACCTTATACATAGGCCTATAAATAGAATCTTGAGGGAATAAGTTTGACAACCAGTGATAAGAGGCAATAAATGGTCGTAACGCTACCGATAGAGTGACTAACCTGTTTTAGAGCAAAGCCAACCTCAAGGGGTAAATTGGCCCGAAATTGGAGTTCTAGCCGTCAGTTTTGGTCACTGATTTTCAGTTCCTTAGTTGTATAGGTTGACGAATCTTAGAGATTCTTTTAACTTGTAAATTTTGATTATAGGTTTATATATGAGCTTTTATTCATCTATTTCATATGTTTGATTTTCATGCTTGGTTTATTGTCAATTCGATTTCGTACATAAAACGAGGACTATTTTCAAATTATATATCCTCAAACCTGACTTTGTGGGTGGATGTGAATGGACATGACCATCCTTCGCAATTGATCATCAATTGATTAAACTTTGTCGAATTCCTCAAGGGAGAATTTGTAGGGTCGCCATCGTTGCCTACTAGATCTGGTAAATGTCATGGCATATGGTGGGAATAAACCGAACAAGATTCAAGCATCTCATATGTAGCTAGAATCAATAATTATTTATTGGTTATACTTAGGTGTGCTTTTCTAGATTCAACTTACTATGCTTATTGCATCTAGATGTCTATATTTGGGTGGAGGTGATGGGAATGAAACCTTTATATACCTTTGCACCCTGTGCAACACACGTATGGAAGCAACCTTATTGAATACCGTGACATATATAATCTAAATGCTAATTTTCCCACGTATCTTGTTAAGCATGGAACCCATGATCATTGTTCTGAAGGAATGGCGGCTAAATAGGAGTATAGTGAGAGGATACTATAATCATGAATTTAGTGAATCATGACTATGTGTAGTCAAAGTCCTAGCACGTCTAAAGTAAGTCTAGAGGAGCTAGCCTATGCAACGTCTCTCCCTCTTGCTTCCTTGCTCAAACAGTAGTGTAATGTTATTGTTCCTTTTGTTTCATTTTGTAAAACCAAGGGGCACTTCAACCCTCGGAGGCACCTCAACCTTCACATTTGCTTTAAAAACCACATAGAACACATCCCTCACCACCTGAATAAGTGGTTGTACGAGGTCCTAACGAATACTATCCTGGTCTTAGGATCAGATAATTTTGTGTCGCTTCTTGCCTGGTGGCAGAGTTTTGAGAGCAGTCTCTTGGGTTATTATAGCGATTGGGGCGCTGGAGATGTATGAAAAAATGAGCTTGGCCTTGTCTTCGACGATGCCATGAATTTTGTTGGAAGGAAACAGGGTGAGGAGGCAAGTTCCTAGTAGAGGGAGCCAGGTCAAAAGAGCCAAAATCCAAAATATGTTTAGATCTCTATTTTGGACGACTCCTATAGAGGTACAGATTCACCCTCACGACGCGCATTAATAGGTGGAATGTCTAGTTCTAGTATTCGACGAAGAATCTGTCCATAGGATCGAAGTCGAGTTTTCGATCATAGAAGACAAATCACATAGACTTAAAGAGGCGATTATAGACGGTGAAGACTAGGATGTGTTGTAGACTGGATCATAGTCAAGGTTTTTAACGACAATTTGGTGGGCATTGTGTGACCACTTCCATTAGACGATACTGTTCTCGGTGAGACAGTTCTCGAGAAAAGCTGGGTTGTCTAGTGGAGACCTAAACCAAGAAGGAAGAAGTCGACCGAAGGAGCGACAAGTTTGAAAAAAATAAGAATGATGAATTTCAAAATAGCTTATGAGTATTTGCTGTTTCAAAAATCGCAAATGAGACTTTTTAAAAGGTCTTAATCTCAAAATCACTTGTCTTTCGAAACACATGATTTCATCGAAACCCGAGAAAACACGGGATTGTATTGAAATAACTCATCCAAATTCTCCATTTAAATGAACTAAAATGAAGCTACAATCATATATCTTTAAAAAAAAACTAATGTTAACCATTAAAAATATCTTAAGTAGCATGTAGCCATTAAAAATAAACTAGGTCATCTTTTATTAAAAAAACTACAATTTTATCGTTATTGAGGGGATGAGTTACCGTCACTAAGAGGGATGTGAGATTCATATCCAAGCGGCAATTTGGGTATGAAAAAAACATAATTTATTATTTATTTATTTTTGTATTAATTACAGATTAGGAATTAAAAACCCAGATTAAATACTTTTTTAATTTAAATTTTACAATTAATACACTTATATATCTCTCTCTTCCTTTTCCAGCAACCTCTTCGCTCCGACCCCCAAACTTTCTCTGGTCGGCGACTTTTTTTCTGTGAAATCCTCCAATCAAACTCGCTCCGCCCATCTGCAAAAAAAACCTCTTCGTCAGTGCGCTAGTAGTATTGGTTTTCATCTAGTGGTACGCTACCACTAACACTGGTACTGCTACCAGTGAGTAGTGGTACGCTACCACTGGTGGCGTACCACTAGACAGAAATCAGTACCACTACCACTGGTTGCATACCACTAGATAGAAATTAGTACCACTAGAGAATAACATAAAAAACAAGACCAGGAATATGGAAAATACCAGATCTGGAAAAAAATTAAGGGATGAGGAAAGGAGAAGGAAAGGGAGAGGTCGTTACCTCTCGACGGCGGGAGAGAGATGGCAGTAATAGGAGTTGGAGGGAGGCAAGAGGGCTGCAACGGTGAGAGCGTTATGGTGCGGCAGTGGTGGGAGGCGGAGGACGCAACGACTGCGGTGGGAGGGATTGATGGTGACGGCGAGAGGGAGAGACGGCGGCGGTGTCGATGGGAGGGAGAGACGACATCAGTGGCGACGGGAGGGAGAGACGGAGGAGGCGGCGACGGGAGGGAGAGACAGAGAGCGGCTAGGGTTCTCGACAGAGGGGAGAATGGGGAGAGAGGAAGAGTTTTTTTTAGGAAATCAGATTATATATAAAATGAGAAAGGATCCTTTGTGGTAAGTTTTTTTCTTTCAAAAATACCCTTCGTTTAATCTAAACCGTTAATTTGAAAAACTAAGAGAGAGACAAGAGAGAGTGGATCTAATGGCTGCGAAGGAGGAAGCGAAACTCACTTCCCCCTAGGGGAAGTGACGCTATCGAATCACCTGGGTTTAGATAGCGTCACAACCCCTATAGGGGTTGTGATTTTCGCTTCCCCATTTACAGCCATAGATCCCCCCTCCTCTTGATCTGGCGGCTGATATAAATCAGGGGTGAAAATGGGATGAGCTGCACTGGATCCGCTCCCTCCGCACTCCACGTGTGATGGCACGCGATCGTCGGGTTTGAAGGGGATGGTTTTTCGGAGGAAAATTAGCCACTTTCCCCGGTAAAAACCGTTCGCCTACCATCATCCCTCTTCCCTATCCTCCGTATGCTACCAAAACCCCTAAGAAGAAGAAGAAGAAAAAAACCCTTGCCTCTTCGCCGCAGCTACTGGTCGCCCCTCCGCCGCAGATAACGTTGTCGGCGGTTTCCTTTTCCGCCGCCAAAAACAGTTTGCCAACCATAATCCCTCTTCCCTT